GGTTCTGAGAGCCTTGGAAGTGATATTCGTGATCACCGCGAAATTCTCTATCGAATGGTGTATGAAGTGTCGAAAAATAAATTTCACTGCAAGGCTGCCCTGGGTGCATCTTACCAGTATTTTATACTATGGCAATAGAAGAGTTTAGGCTGTGTTCTCTTCCTTGCGAAACTATCTGTAAACACAAGGTAAAAAGAGCACCTTCTGATATGTTTCTGCATCTAACGCAGTACTGGATGCTAGTCTTATCTCTTTAATCAACTATCTATCCGGTTGTATATACTGTCTTGTCTTTAAACTAGAAGTAGCCTATACATACCATATTGCTGTTGTGCTCCAGGATGAAATGTTTGCTGCGTATGAGCAGGATAAGGCGGAGCTTGATACGATGGCGCTTGATAAGGTGGCGCTTGATAAGGCGGAGCTTGGTAAGATGGAGAATTTTGATCAAGCAGACCAGGTTTTTCGTTATTGTCAAAACCCACTTGAGCCATAACTTAACTTTCAATTAAAGCGAAACAACAGCTTGTTTTTTATTGTATACACTTGGTTTTTTTCTCACGTACTCAAACTTTGACTATATCTATTTTTATCTATAATGTGCCTTCTGTTGTGTTGTTTCTCTTTTTTTTCGTTTCTTTTCTTTTCCTTTATCCAAAAGAGCTCCAATATAACAGTGTTATCAGCATTTATTTTTCTTTGCTTTTGCTCTCTTATGAAATTTTAAAAAAATGTGTGAAATTTTGTTCCCTTTTGGAGTTATGACAGAGCGAAGCTTTGGAGTTATGAAATGAGCGAGATGTAATCTCACTATTGCTCCAATCGTAATAATTATAGAAACAGAAAATGTAACGTCGCTAATAACCGGTGACGCGTCTGAACTTGAGACTTCAAAGGGCGTCTAAAAGTCGATTGAGCTATGTTGCGTGTATGAAGTGCACTTATATGTGTACCAATGGCATGCTAAACATGTGATAATGTCACGGTAATCATCAAATCGCCAGAAACGAAAAAAACGTACAGCAAATAATATCCGCATGCACGGGAGTTTTCGAAAAGTGAATATATGGACACGTACCACTTGTTAATTATCTTGAAACATGATAATAATTGAATGCGGTATGACCGGCCCGAACTAGGTGCTATCCTTAAGTAACATATCAACGGGTAGGATGATTTGTATGTTATAAATTTACGCAAGGCCAACCAATGATTCTTAAGCGTTTTGCTGTGCTAGTGTTTAGTGTTCAGCTTAAGTAGCGTACGAATGGTAAATGCTCGCCGCTTGATGCTCTGCAAGGTTATCCTGACAGACATTCCATTCTGTTACGCAGTCCTTGTTTACTATTGTCGCAAAGAGGGCTGGATGAATGAAAATATCAGCTTCTGTTACCCTGCAAGAGTGGACTATTAGGTAGACAGACATGAGAATGAAAAAACCGTAATATATTAATTATATATATATATATATATATTTTTACTTTTTCTTCTGTCGCAAACTTACTTTTTTAGGCGATAGTCATTGATATTCACAGCCATGTTTCTCAAAGACTAAAAGGGATGCTTTTCTAAAAAATAGGTCAGCATTATGTACAACTCGTGTGCTTTAAACTAGTATAACAGCTGAAAATGGAAATGGGTATACTATAATTAGTGTAATGTTAGTTCGCGAAGTTGGTGCAATACGAAATAAGTTTACAGTGAGCGCTCGCCCTCTTGAATATATAAAAGATGAACATTTGATTCTGTTATGAAGTCCTTGTTTACTATTGCCGCAAAGAGGGCTGGATGAATGAAAATATCATCTTCTGTTACCTTGCAAGAGTGGACTATTAGGTAGACAGACGTGAGAGTGGAAGAACCGTAATATATTAATTAAAATTTCCGATTGGATCACAATCTATGAATGTATCTGCTATGTCACAACGATTAGGCCATTGTTCTTAGATGCAAGAAGTGTATGCTACAATAATTTGCATTGATATAGCCACAAGGTTTTATGCCATTGCGTTTGTTAAAAATCTGTGCGGTTCAAATTGTGTCCTTCTCTGTCAACAAAATCTCTCTTACCGACAAAGTGAAGATTCACTAAATTCTACGTTTATCCTATCTTTTGAGTGGGAACACTGCCGAAAAATCTGATCTTTCACACGTCATCAACCTCTTGACTCCGGGCTCTTTTGGGGAAATAGTCAAAATTTTTATAAAAAATGTTCAAATATTATTTTATGTATTTTATTCAAAATTTCTGCAATTTCCTGCTCAGTCAAACTTCTGCTTCTTCGAGTAGCCATTTTGAAAATGATGAAACAAAGCCCTACTATTTCAAATAATCAAAGAATATGGTTATACAAAATAGACGTGAGGGAGTGGCTAAATTGACTCCTTTATGTGACACAGAATAAGAAAGAGGAAAAAGCTAGCGTCGACGACAGGCAGTGAGGAACCATATCCCGATCGAGCTATATATCCCAATTATGATATAAAAATGTATCCCGATTGAATTGGGATATATTTTTTTCGATATCCCGATCGGACTGTATAAACATAGCCCGATCGGGATATCTACTTTTTTGGATACCCGAATCGATAGGATATCTTTTGCCTTTAAGACGTAATGTCTTCTTCCTCAATTCCTGCTATGAAATATACTAGTGATATAATAACTCAGAATCTGAAAAAAACATCGTTTAAATTTAAAATAGCTGGTTTTGACAAAAAGTGTTCATGGCCATCACCAGTATGGCTAAAATTTCGCTTCTGTAAACGTCTCTGCTGATAATGATGATAAATGGAATTAAAAGTTCATTCGGGATACTGTCCATGTTTTGAAAAACGCATTAGATACCCGGGATTTGACAACGTTCAAGACTAAATTAAGATAGACAATGATTTTAAACCTTTCTTGTTGTCGCTTCAAAGTATATTCGATGTAAACCCGAATCAACTGTTCGCGGGTAAGGGCTTCTGAGTAATTTCGTAAAAATTCACTTAATGCAAAAAACCTTCTTCCTCTGAGGAACAGAGAGGATGTTCTTAACGGTTAGAATAGAATACGGTGTTCGTGAAACTGAAAACCGCCCACTCACGTAAAGCATTTTTAAGCAATTTGGTGTAGACGAAAATCGAAGAATATGATAATAAACAGACAAAAACAAGAGAAAATGTTGATGAGAGAATTTCTTGTCTCCTTGCGTCATCAAAGCGATCGTTGTCAGACATTATACCAGAATATAGCAGTTGATTACTGTATTATTCTTTGAGCGGAATGCAAGAAAGAAAGTCTGATTTACACGTGTGTGTATATCCAGTGCGATTTGGATATCTTCAGAGAAGAAAAACGAAGAAGTACCTACCACAATATTTACCTTTAGTACAATATTTGCACGAATGTGTAAAAGAAACTCTCTGTCTGCTTTTTCATATTCGGAGGTCATCTTTAGCGTAGTCTGCAATGAAATATAGTTGTATAAACGCTATTTAATAGTCGATGATGGGCTGACGATAACTGGATGTTTAACTTCCCATATTAATTGTAATTATGTTGATCGCTAAACAATTTGCTTCTCTATAGACAATATAGTCAATGTGATTGAAATATGAATTTTGTTTCCTTCGTCTTTAGTTTTTGAAATACAATTCTACGCTCAGAATGTAAAAACCTTTCTATTGTACAAAAGCGACGTTTGAGTTATAGACTGTTGATCATCAATGAATTAAATACTTGACCTAATCGATTTACCACTAATATTTCTGCTAGCTACTCATCATAACTGCTTCGTATAAAAACTTTTTCTTTGTTTCATTCAACAAGCTGGTTTTAGACAAATAACCGTCAGATACGTTTATACGCTAATAATTGTGTGCAAATTTTGTCTCCCTGTCATACATTCATAGCCGAGTACAAACAATCCTTTAATTTCTTTCGAAAAGATTTTGATAAACCAGCATCTGAAATCAAATTTCCTATTTGTATATTACCGAAATCATTCTCGTTTCCCAATTGAAAAAGTAGCTCCAGAGATAATTAATTCTGTTCAAAAAGAATTTGATCAGGTTTACAAGAAGTATATCAGCTCAAATCATAATGATAATGACCCCTTAATCTCGTCTTTTGCTGAAGTAACAAACGAACTAGTTCGTATACGTCCAAAACACTCGGTCGATGCCAATGGCAGTTCAAACTTTCTGATTAAATCGTTACCAATCTACTATTCAGCACTGTTTTCAGTATTATTTAATCGTCTTTTGTCACTTAATAGATTTCCAGATTGTGCAAAAATTGCTCGTTTATGCATTCTTTCCAAAAACAGGCACTACCCATTGTTATCTCAACTTCGTCCTATTTTACTACTGAATTCCATCGAAAAATTATACGAACGTATCTTCTATAAGCATCTCCAGAAATGGATATTAGACTCCAATATTATTTCAGATTGACAACAGGCTTTCAACCATTATAGTTTTTGTCCATATTCTTGCAAATATTTCATTGATTCTTGAAACGACATACCAGGTGGAGCACATAGAAAAGGGACCAAATCATCAGCATAGAAATGATTGTCTGCATTTAATAAGAAAGGAACTATGTCAGCGGTAAAAACGGCAAATAAAATGGAGAAAAAGAAGTAGATGTAAATTTATATTTCCAAGAAATCCTTTAGCTTTTGCTTAAATGAACGTCAGTTGAAAATGGAGCGACGGGTGTTCACACTAAATCACTATTATATGGATACGGTCAATAAACAAAAAGCAAAAAAAGTCAAAAAAGATAACGAAGCAGCATCTGCCGCCGCTTCCACC